GAGAGAGAGAGAGAGAGAGAGAGAAAAGAAGAGGCTCGTCCGTCGTGGAAATCGAGCCAGAAACGAGCGAATCTCTTTTTTCTCTCCCCTCCTCCCCCCCACCCTGGTGGAACAGGAGCGAGCGAGAGCGTGAAACGAGACACGCACAAAGTTTGAAACGAGCGGTGTCTATTAATAGCGCCAGGGTTGATGAAATAAAAAGGCAGAAGCGTAGGTGGGCGTGAGAACGCGTGGTCGTTGGAAGGTCCTCCCCGATTATTGCGTTGGAAACAGACGACGAATTCGCGATCGAATGTTGCGCAATCACCACCACCACCATCATCGTAGGATGGATCCTCCATCGATGATTAACGACACCACACCGTGCAGCACCTCTTGGCTCGAGCCAAGGAGAGAGAGAGAGAGAGAGAGAGATACCTTCTCAAGTTTGTCGATCGAACCGTGGTCCGATTTACATAACTCGTGCAAACTCGTGCCAACGAACGCGTGTGTCGCGAAGATTTATGGATTGTTTCGCGTAGTTTGATCCTCGCGAGAGGAGTGAGTTGGATTCCGTTGGATTTTGAATGGAAGAGAGAGAGAAGGAGAAAAAGAAAAAAAGTCTTCCTTTCTGCGATAACAACGAAAGAAATTCGATCTCTCGCGTCACGAGGGAAGCGAAGTTTGAGAGAAAAAAAACGTGCAAAAAAGAGAAAATAAAGCGAACGTTCGGCAACCGAGCCAACAACTCTTCTAATATCTCGCGTTTTTGCCCGCGTATTCGGGAACCGACAATCTTATACCTCGCGTGTATATATAGTTACGAATAGAGTTGCCTCGATAATTTATCGTTTAGAACAATATTGTACAATAATTGGAAATAATTGTACTTAAAAAGCGGACGGATCGACTTCAATAATATATAAAGTAATTTTAATCCTCTGCTGCATGAATTTTTATGACGAGTTGAAAAAAATTATATATGGTTAAAAATGAGCGTGGTCATGAAATAAATAATAAAATTTTATTATTAGAAAATGTTATTTATTCCATTTTATGACTGTTCCTCTACAGGAACTTTATGCATATGCATTATACATAAAACATTGATGGGTGCGTCGTATGTACGTATTTTACATTTATGCGAAACCACACATGAAATTTACTCTGCTTCCAGGGCTTCGAGCAAAAGCTACGTGATTCGAAAACTCCGTTTCATTCGATAGATTATCTCGAAATCGATATTATCTTGCTTCAAATGCGTCAGTCGAGTAAACTTCAATCTGGAAACAATTCGGTAATTTTATCGATTATCGGGGAAGGAGAGGGGGCGGAGAAGGAGACGGTTTCGAGGAGAGTTAGTAGCACGCGAGATTTTATTCGATCTGGCAGAGGCGCGCGGGAAATTTGGCAACAGGCTCGGATATTTGCGCGCGAAACAAAAATCGCCCCGTGTGCACAATGTAGAGCGCGGCGCGTAGTAGTAGTAAATAATTTTCCAAAATCGCCCGCTCCGCACGTATATATATATATCTATATATCTCGTGAAAGAGATATAAATAAATATACGAACACGGCCCCGAGAACGTATTTCCAAGAACGTCTTAGACTGCGTGTAAAGGAATGCGTTCTAGAACGCATGAAAGGGCACGAGCATTTTATTACTTGTTCCATTATTGTTTCGAAATAATTCAAGCGCGAACGATCGCGATTAAAACGAGTCAACGACAGCATAGATTCGTTGGGGAGGAGTCGGCATCCAATTGGGAAGAAAAGGACGAACAAGATTCGTACGGACACGTTCGAAGAGAAGAAAGGAGAGGGAGAACGAGAGAATGTTTTTTCTGAAACGAAAATTAAGAAGGAGAGATTTTACTCGAAATTTCAAAGTTGCAAGAAATAGGAAAGAGAAAAAGAGAGAGAGAGATTGCGGTGAGACGATTAGTCACGCGTTTGGCAAAGGTGGTATCGCGGACGAGAGAAAAGGCGGTCAACGATTCGACGGAGGGCTACTTGGCACTGTGCGCCGCCCGTTTGGATCAACAGGAAGCGGCACAACCGTGGTGACGTATCCAGGGATTTCCTTCTCCTCTCCACGGATAAAACGATTCGCGCAAGCCGAAACACCCGGAAGCCAGTCTTTACACGCGGTCTAATTATACGGGGGAGGGGATTGCCCCGTGAAAATGGGTCAATTCGAGTCGCAGTACGAGAGAATAGGAGGAGGAGAAGGAAGAGGAAGTCAAAGTTGAGAAGTTAAATGATAATAAAATCCGATTGATCCGTTTAAATTTATTCTTGTCCAATCCGGTACAAAGCGTCTTTATCTTTTGTTTGTGCACTTACGACGCGTGGTTGGGAATGGTCACGTTCTACAATAGCGCCAACGACTTTCGAAATGGCAGCTTTTTCCCCTGAAAACACTTGCGCGTAGAAAATACGCCGATTCCAAGAATCTTGCTTTAGAAGTTTATTATGCTTTTCGCTAACGTTCCTCGTTCGCGCTCCGTTACGCGATGAATTTTATAACGCGTTCCC